TTTTTTTTAGGAGCTGTTAGATTTAAAAGGTGGTGACTGAGGTCCCTAACCGTAGCTCAGGCTTTGAGCTCCTTTGTGCTCTCACAGTGGCCACAGCCACCATAGACTGTAGGAGCATCACCTGTTCATGGACAGGTGCAGATCACCTGGGAGGCCTCTTCTGCCTGCCCTTGACCGGCCCCTCCCCTCCATTCTGACACCTTGTTTGGCGCCCTGTTTAGAGAGGACCACTGTTATTGGTAGGAGTGCTCTGGAAGGGTGGCGACTGGGAGAAGGTCAAGAAACGCTGATTTAATACTGATGGACCATTTTTGTTTATGCTTGCCTGTTTTTCAGGAAGGAAAAAACAAAATTAGTTCCTGTCCTCATTAATCAAGATGAGAGGGAACCCAGTCTTTGCATGAGGAAAAGACAATACCCAGGTATCACTGTTTACCTGGTAGCCAGGTGCCTGATTTATACCCAGGAAGAATTAAAGGAGCCACTGGACACCGGCTGGAAAACTCACTTATGGGAGGTCATGGGCTATGTCTCTACAAAAGAAGAAACACCATTTGTGGGGAGGACCACCAACCTCCCGTCCTATGGCCCCACATGATCCCACCACACCAAAGTTTCTCTCTTCCCTGACGGCTGCTAGAGTAAAGGCTCATCAACTCTCCACACCCAAAGACAGCCATGCAGTCATCTGACTGGTGTGTCTCGAGAAGACTCAAGACACGGATGCCATTGGGTGCAGGGCAGGTGCTTCCTGGCATCTTTGTAGTCCAGATGGCGGGCACATTCTTCTGCCAAGAAAAGCACTGCAGAGCATGATCCATGGCCCCTAGAAACTCTGGGCAAGGGCAAAGGTGTTACTCTCCACACTGAAAGCCAGACCCATCCATACACCAGCGAGCTTGTCAGTCACCCGGAAGCTCTCTCTCTCCAACCCTGGACTGCTCGACTGGGGTCCCGTGGTCCACTCTCGATCTATCTGTGGACTTTTGTACTTGGTCTTCCTCCCCATTGAACCTTGACTTTCCCTAACAGACTTGACCTGAAGTTGGTGCCCCACAATGCCTTGAACAGAATATGCTGCCTAAGCTCAGTCTCCAGGGATGCCAACCCATGACCCCAGTCCTGTTTTACAAAGGATTAGGAGAAGGATATTGTAGACATTGTTAAGAAACCACATGATCCATAAAGCCACCATTTCACTTGAAATGACAATGCTGGTGCTTTCCAAAGGATGAACCACTTGTGAATAACATCCCTAATGCTGGTCAAGGTACAGGCATGAGACAGAGGAGCCGGTAGCACAGCAACTAAGAGGATGGGCCTCATAGTTAGATGCTCCTGGCTCTAAATCTGGCTGTCATTTATTAGCTCTGTGACCTCTGGCAAATGAATTAACTTCTCTGTGTCTAAGTTTCTACATCTGTAAAATGGGAATCAAAGTAAATCTTATCATAGAATTATCATTAGGAAGAGATGAAATAATGCTTATAAATCACATTGAATAGAGACCAATCCATAGTAAGCACTCATGAGATTACAGCTACCCTCATTGTTTCAAACCCTATCACTTTAAGAATGGTTAATCCCTTCTACTTAATTTATTCTCTTTTTAAAAAATTTAATTTGACCTATCCTGAGAGCTAAATAAGTGCCTAGAATGGTGAAACAGGAGCTCCAAAGCTCCAGTCTTCTCCAAGAGACTTGTATTTTCTTCTGGACAAGCTCAGTGCCTTAAACATTGTGGGCACTAATAAGTCCATGCAGAATTAAAAACTATTCACGAACGAGATCTGGCTTATAGCCAGGCTCTGGAAATCAATTCCTTAAATCAAAGAATTAAATTATCTGACATTTTTAAGTTCCAGCCGTAAATGAGAGTTTTTCCAGTTAAGTCACTCACCGTGATCATGTCTCTGCCTGAAAGCATAACACACCCTTTCATTTAGAGAGATTTTTACTCACAAGGAATTGGCAATGAACACGGCATAATCAGCAGTTTCCTACCCCTGATGTCTCTTGGCTCCTCCTCAGTGCCCTCAGAAGCCAGGTGCTGCAAGGAGAGATACAGGACCTGGGCTCTGCCAGATTCGGCCAAGGTCTTTAATCTCCCTGAGCCTCACTTTCCTCACTTTTAGAATGGGCATAATTTTTGGCAGCGTTGTTGTGAAGATTCTAGAATAACGTCACACATCTGACTCAGCGCCTACCTGGGCAAGCAAGTGCTCCACGCATTTCGTTATTATTATTATTTTCATCTAAATTCTTCTCGTGGTGAACTTAAACATTAGTGGTTTATAAAATCTTCTGACAGTAACTGGTCAATAGGAAAGACAGCCTCTCTGGGTCCCATGTTTCTCATTTGTGAATGGAAAGTGTTATAAACCACAGGGACCTGGGGAAGATTGGATGAACAACGCAGGGGGTCATTGGTTCTCAATGACCTGGTCTCCTGGCCTGACTGAAGACAATGAGGAAAAGAGAAATGAATTTAGAAGGAGGGGGGTACACATTATCTCATTCAATTCCTTCAATCAATTCTACCATATGCCCCTATTTTACACATATGGAAACTGAGGCTCACAGAGGTCAGACAATCTGGCCAAGGTCAGGGTGAGCAATCAAGGCAGGTTTGAGTGAGGATCGCTTAGCACGTGATTTCTCTGCTGGGCTGACTGGAGCTGTCTCCAGGGCAGCCAGGGGGCAGAGAGAGGTCTAGAACCCCTTATGTGAGAAGTAATTGAGGGACTCTGAGATTTGGGCAAGGCCACAGTAACTGTCCTCAATATCTGATGAGACTCTAATACAGACAAGGGAGAATACTTATTTTCTGGGGCCCTAAAATGCAAAACCAGGGCACCTGGTGGAAATTATAGAGCGGAGGGATTGACTCTTGTTCAGGATCCTAACGCTTAGCACTTCTCATCCCAGATGGGCTCGAAGGGGCCGCCAGGCTGGGAGAAGTGCTTCTGGCTTTGGGAAGGAGGTGGCACCTGGGACCTCCGAGCCTCCTCAGCAACTTCATATTATATCTATCGTCACACAACATGTTTTTTGTTTTTCTTGTTGGGGTGTTTTGTCAGTGTTATTGCTGTTTCTGTTTTTGCCTTAAGATCCCAATGAGACCTTAGGAAATCACTGCTCTGCCTTCTCCACTGTACACATTCCCTGAAACCACTTTAGCACACATTTATATTCTTCTGGTCCATTCACTGAAATTTTATTTTATTTTTATTTCCCTAGTTGGAGTAAGGAAGGACTTATTGAATGGACCTAAAGGGGATCTGTCAAAGTAATTCCACGTGTTCCAAAGGTATGTGCATGACCAGGCTATTCTTGTGTGAGATACATGTATTCATACGTGCTACATGCCTTGCCATACAGGCAGTGGAAATGACGATAATGTTCTTAGTTTTTCACTAAAACAGGACCCAGTGTGACTCGCTGAAATCTAGCCTCTCACTACATGATGCTGGGTCATCTATTTCTGGCTCAGATCTATTCTGATGCATTAATAAGCTTGTGTTGCAATTAATCACCTCCCTGGCTTTAACTTATATGTAAATCCTTCACCTTGGTGATGGCAGGACGCTTCCATGCATCATGCGTGTAACTATGACACTGAAAATAGACATTGTGATTGTGGAATTGTTCCTTAGAGAATCACTACAGTTAAACCCTGAGCTCTGCTCTGACCTTGTCTCTGATTAGCGCAAAATCACACTGGATAATTGTACCCAAGAAATAAAGCAGCATTTTTAGTGGCCTCTCCTTGCTTTAACACACTGATGGTAAACAAAGACTGCCTTGTAAGGAGCAGAGATCAACCTCCACGCTGACATTTAGAAGCTATTGGGCATTCACTAGAATCCAGCATTATAGGAATTATTTTCCAACTGCACACTCATCTAAGGCACCTCTCTGGGTGGTCTTAATTTCATTAAAATGCCTACTTCTCCCTCTGCTCGGGGCTCCTGACAGTGAGAGGTGGGCCAGGCAGTGCATCCACCTGACTCTGTCACTTTGTCCATTGCTCTCCGTCCCTCTCAAAGGCACACTCCCGTAACTGGCCAACGGTGCCCCGTGCTCTGGCGATGTTCTGGGCCCTGACACCCAGCCCCTGGCCACCACGAGGGCAGTTCCAGCCAAAGGGAGGGCAAGGCCCAGCAAGGTGATGAAGCTGCAGAGAGATGACACACAGCAGCCAAGACTTGCCTCACACGATGCTAAAACAAGACGCAGAGAAAACAAAACCACTAAATATTTACACAGGCAAACATTCAACAATGTTAAGGGTGGGGAATAATACTGTATGAATAAAAACAATAAAAAAAATTTTAAATGACAAAGGAAAAGATTAATGGATTTTACTTAACTCATTAATTGTACATAAACAAACAAACAAAATAAGCAACCAAAACACTGAGGAAGAATTTGCAGCTGATATGACTACGGATTAATATCCTTTCTATATGTACAAAATAAACTTTAAAAATCAGTAAGAACCTAACACACACAGAAAATGGGATAAATATTATGAATTTTAATTTTAAAAATTCATTACAAATTTTTTAATTTTTAGGTAATTTAAAAGAGAAAAATGCAAGAGACAGATAAACTTAGGGGGAAAAACATCCTCTTTGCCAGTTTTTTTGTTTGTTTTTCTCGAGGGATGGGGGGCCCTGGCCAGTACGGGGATCTGAACCCTTGACCTCAGTGTTAGCAGCACCACACTCTCCCAAGTGAACCAGTTTTTTTAACATGTAAATTAAACCAATTTATTCACCTATCCAATCGGTTCCAGTTTTGATAAAGGTAGCTTTGCTGCTGGTGAGAGGGTGATGAGACAGACAGGGCCGTTTCCTAAGCGAATTGTTCAGGACAATAACGTCAAATGATTCGAGAGTTAGGACCCAGCAATTCTACTTCCGTTTAACTTATCCTGAGAAACGAACCAAGATGCAAACAGAAAGTAGTGAGCAAGATGGCTGAGGTATTTGTGGGAGAGGCAATGCCTCACATAGAAGAAATTAATCTTTGGTGGTCCCATGATGGTGAGGAACAGGAATATGTGGAGACAGGTTACCTTTCTCAGTGGTTGTGAACCCCATCACATTTGTGTGTGACGAGTCTGCCCCTTGAAAACTTTTGCATTTTCTTGTTTAAGGTAAATGGTGATCTCCTGTGTCTTAGACTACTCAGACTGCTATAACAAAATACCATAGGCTAGGTGGCTTATAAACAAGAGAAATTGATTTCTTTCTTTTTTTTTTTTTTTTAGTAGAAAAAGATGGTTTATTTAGCAGAGTTCTGCCATAATTTTCTTCTGTAAGAAAAGAAAATTAGACTTCTAGATTATACCATACACTGAATTATTTATTTACTTTTAATTCTGGAGGCTGGGAAGTCCAAGATCAAGGCACCAGAAGGTTTGGTGTCTGCTGAGAGCCCACTTTGTGATTCACAGATGGTGAGTTCTGTGTCCTTGCATGGTAGAAAGAGCTAGGGAGCAATCTGGGGTCCCTTTCATAAGGGCACTAATCCCATTCGTGAGGTCTCAGCTTTCATGACTTAATCACCTTCCAAAGGCCCCACCTCCTAGTACCATCACATTGGCAGTTAGGTTTCAACAGTGAATTTTGGGGGGACACAGACATTCAGACCATAGTACCCTGCAAACTGGCAGCATTGGCCAGACATCATTCAATGAATGATATTAAATGGTTAAACACAGCTGATGAGGGATGGTTGATAAAACATTACCAACAGATAACATGCCATCCA